CCATGTTACTCTCCTCTTGGACATAAATGATCTCAAAATACCAATCCCCAACTGGTTACTCTGAAACGAACCAAATCATTTCACAATTTTGTTTAAGCACAAACAAGTTCCCTATGCCACCCACAAAGTAACAAACACTTCTTCTTCTCTTGGCTAAAATAACTACTGCTTCTTCACCAGTGATATTTTTTTTTTCCATTCTTGTCTCCTCTCCTTTAAGGTGAGGTTTACTGGTTGATTTCTACCAAATCATAGAAATCAGGGGTACCTCCTCAACAGAATCCCATCTAGAGCAAACCCAGCTTTCCTGGATCCTCCTGCCAACTACCCAATCAAAGCCCAAATCCTATAATAGGTTCTTTCTAAAGCCTCCTTCCTGAGACATGCCATGCTGTGTTCTTCCTTATTGCAGAAAGTACTAAACCTAATGTGTTCAACTATGGGTGTGTCCCTGGTGGCCTTTGGCTAAATGGTGTTGACAGTGCCCAGAAAATATTTGTTGAAGGAAGGAAGGAAGAAGTTTGGGCTATCCTATGACTATAATGTTTTTAACCCAACATTCACTGATTGAATCCATTGCCATCTACTCAAGACTTAAGTATTCCAAATTTAATGGGAGCTCTAAGCTATTTATCTCTACCTTATAAGGTTCACTTAATCAAGTTCTTATTGAAATTTAGTTTTAATCCAGTCTCTCTCCAGAGCTGGTAGTTACAAATCTATGAAAAAAAAAATAGACCAAAAGTTGCCTGTCCACTTATTCAGGGTATAAAGGTATCCTGGCCTTTCCTTTATCTGACATGAGTTCACACTGCTTAGAAAAGATAGACAGCACCAAAATAAATGTCCCCCAAAGTAAATGGTAGAGATTGAGCACACACACACACACACACACACACTGCACTTATTCATTCTATCAGCTTCAAAGTTTAGGTATTCTGAATTCTGTGCTCTGCAGTTGGGATCTACACTCTGACCGTTATGACAATTATAATTATAGGAAGTTACATATATATTCAAAGCTTATTTGACTACTAATTATGTACCTGCTATTTACAATACAGGAATTATTGTTAACACAATGAAGTATAAAGCCATTGTCCATTTACTCAAGGAGCTCAGAATGTGCATGAGGAGATGCCAGGTCCTATCCTATGATACGGTGAAAGGATTTCAATTTTCATTTATCCATGACAAATGAACACAAAAATAAGGGCTTTAATTCACCTCATCCGCATCAAAGGAAGTACATTCTTCTCTAAGCTCTAAGGGGGAAAATATCCTGCTCCTTGTCTCTCCTTAATCCTGCCCTGGCAGATATGTTGGTACAAGTGTTGACAGCCTGTGCACATGGTCAACCAAACATATGCCTAAGAATAGCACAGGAAAGGATATTCTTAACTAGAGTTAGTGACAATCACTGCATTCTCAAGAAAAGACTCTGGGGGTTGTCTTACCATACTTATGCAAAGAGCAAACTGGATTTATGTCCTCAAAATTTTCAAGAAGTTCTCAATATGTGCTGATTGCTTGATTCATGTCAATGGGATAAGGTCATCTCAGGGTCATCTGGATGAAAAGGCACTTATTATCTATCTCCATTAAGTCCTATGCTGTATTATAATGCAGAGCAAACAGGTTTTCTGCAACTTGGAAATCTATGACAGTAACCCAGAACACTGATATGGACAAGTTAAACAGAATACAGACAGCTGAGCAAATATTAAAGAAGTCTGTGAATTAATAAATAATTATTAACATTTTGTACAAGTAGAGCGAGTACATAAGTTTAACTGGGAATGTTGGCAGGAAACCATAAGGAATGTACACTTGGCCTAGATAAGGCCATGGAGAATTCACAACTTTTTCACTAATTAATCATCATGCAATCTAGCAGGCTGAAAAATAAATCTGATTTTCCCACACCATGTTCTAGACCTGGTTTGGAGACTTGGAATTTCCCCAAACAGTCAAGGTCCTAGGAGCATTCTCAGAAGATGTCAATTATTCGTCATTGGCTAAGGACAATAACTCTAGCAGCTCTAAACTCTTTCTAGATTAAGGGAATAAAATTAATTTTATTCATCTATATACCAACTAATATTTCAATTTTCTTCTTTGCTTCAATCAAGCAATCAATAAGAAATAATATTTGCAGAGCACGCTATAATTAAAGAACTACTTTTTCCCTGCATATCCCTTTTGAGATATGAACTTCACAACACATATGGTGAAGAGAATATTATTAATGTACTCATTTTACAGAGGTACAGAGGACTGAAGTAAATTTCCTATATACTAGAGGTACAAATGCTTCATAATATTTCCTTGTAAGATATTTTAAGATTAAACTTGTAACTTGGGGTGTCTGGATGACTCAAGTCAGTGAAGCATCTGACTCTTGATTTCATCTCAGGTAATGATATCATGGTCTTAGGGTCTGCTTGAGTATCTCTCTCCCTCTTCCTCTGCTCTTTCCTCTGTTCTTTCTCTCTCCATAAATAAATAAAATCTTAAAAAAAAAAAAAGACTAGGGATGCCTGGGTGGCTCAGTGGTTGAGCATCTCTGCCTTGGCTCAGGGTTTGATCCCACAGTTCCAGGACTGAGTCTCACATTGGGCTTCCTGCATGGAGTCTGCTTCTCCCTCTGCCTATGTCTCTGCTTCTCTCTCTCTGTGTGTGTCTCTCATGAATAAATAAATAAAAATCTTAAAAATAAATAAAATTTTAAAAAGATTAAACTTATAGCAAGTACTTTCAAAATCTTATTAAAATATAAGTAAGACATATCTATCAATCAACATAAATTATCTAGTGTTAGTAGATGGTGAGTCCAATGCTAAATACCTATATACTGAATTATGTAATTGTCTCTGGCTGCAAAGAGTTTACATCCCACTTAAAAGGCAAGTTTGTGAGTGTCCTGTAAACACATAGAGAAATAAAGAATAATGAGAACTGGCCTAGTCAGGGAAGAGGCTCAGCCAAGATGAAACACAAGTGAAAATGGGAAGGATGCCATGGTTGTGGCTCAGAAGAAGCAAGGGCAGTGGGGAGAGGGTAAAGGAGCCTGTGACAAAGCAAGAGTGTATTCATGTGGAAATCAGGAAAGTAGTCAGAGATGTGGGATATTTGTTTATCTACCATCCAGCAGAGGGTCTTAAATATAAGAAGCACTTAGGAAAGAAAAAGATGGAAGGAGAAGCTGAGTCCCAAGCAGTGAACATTCTCTAGTCTATCAATCAAATAATCACTGCTTTTCTTGTAGAAGGCAGAAATTTCTTCCCAGTACTTCCCCAAGAAAGTAGAACTGTCAGCACAAGTTCCTATTTTGTCAGTTCAAACATTTTTTGATTCTATGACAAAGGCAGTCATTGAAAATTTTGAATAGGAATTTTAATCTAATTTGAATTGAATTGAAATTTAATTTTAAAAGCAAAATCATTCTGGCTGTTATGTGGCTTTAGCAAGAATGAAGAGAGAGTGATGTTGGTGAATATAGCTAGAACTCAGGTGCATGGGGCAGGTAAAGGAAAGTGAGACCCAGTAGGGAAGTTTCCAATGAGAAGAGCAAAATGTTCACAATTACAGGGGTACCTAGCTGGCTCAGTCAGTAGAGCATGCAAATCGTGATCTTGGGGTTGTGAATTCGAGTCCCACATTGGGTGTAGAGATTGCTTTAAAAATAAAACCCTAAAAAATAATAAAAGAGTAATTATATGGCTCAAATTGTGAGCACGTGATGATTGATAAGATGAAAAAGGGAGGAAGATGAAAAAGGGAGAAAATTATGTCATATTTTACTCCATGATTTAAAATCAGAGGGACTCTGAGGACACATTATTAGTGACAGAAATAGAGATGAGGGGCGCCTGGGTGGCTCAGGGGTTGAGTGCCTGCCTTTGGCTCAGGTCTGATCCTGGGGTCCTTGGATCGAGTCCCACTTCAGGCTCCCCATAGTGAGCCTGCTTCTCCCTCTGCCTATGTCTCTGCCTCTCATGAATAAATAAATAAAATCCTAAAAAAAAAAAGAAATAGAAATGGGTGTCAACAAGGTAATAGAATAATAGGACAATATTTTTCCTTCATCCCCTCTGATGTGAATGTGGAACAGCAGTTGATGTTTGGGTTTTTTTTTTTTAAGATTTTATTTATTTATTCATGAGAGACACAGAGAGAGAGAGTCACAGAAACAGGCAGAGGGAGAAGCAGGTTCCATGGAGGGAAACAGATGTGGGACTCGATCTGTGGGACTCCAGGATCAAGCCCTGGGCAGAAGGCAGGCTCTAATCCGCTGAGCCACTCAGGCGTCCCGAGTCTTTTTTTATTTTTTTTTTTCTAAGCAGTTTTTTATCCTTGTCCTTTTTTGGAAAAGAGGACTTTCTAGCAAAGAAGATGGAAGAAAATGCCTGGAGGTTAAATTATGTGGGCAGTGTGGACTTTTCCAGAACCCTGACCTCAAACTGAGCTGAGGATTGAATTCAACTCAGTTCCAGAAATGAGCTGAGGGTGGGTGGACGCTAGGGGAAACAGAATGGCACAATTTGATGCAGAGGCAGGAACATGAAGCCACTTCCCTGCTACACAGTGGGAGCATGCCTGGGGTTGGTACTTAATACACAGGACCTTTTCCTTTTCTGCAATGCAATCACCATCACCTCTACCTCCAAATACATCAATCAATCCAGCCTCCTAAGGTCAGTCATAGAGAAAGAGAACAGTGTAACTAAGAACAAGAGAGGGATGTTTCAAAGTGTTTTTGCAAAGGCACGTTTCCCAGCAGATTATTACCTTGTGGCCCTCCTAAAAACGAATACTAGCATTGAGATGATCTGCCCTGGATGGGGTTTCTTTCCTTTTGCTTTGTCAGGGAAAGGAAAAAGGAGAGCGAGTTCCACTTCGGTTTCCACGAATATGGCCCTGTTCCATCTAAATTCCAAAAAAACACTTCGAACGCAGTCCAGCTGTTGTATTTTCCCTCCAAGTTGGTATCACTGTGTTCAATTCAAATTTTCTAAATAAAACAAAGAGCGAGAAAGAGCTTTAACACATTACAAACTCTTAAATGTGTGTTCTTTGATACATATTCTGGCTCCAAAAAAGGGGGAGGAGGGACGCGGGTTCGTAGCCTTGACTTAACGTCCAGCCCAGGTGTTACCTAAGTTCTCCTAACTTCAGCAGCCACCTGCACTTTTAAATCTTGCTCCACAGCGAACTACGTTTCCCGAGAGCACACGTCGAAAGAGGCCCTTGAAGTGCATGCTGGGAACTGTAGTCCGGAGGTGACTTTCTTGTCTTCCCGGCCCTGGACTCACGTCCCGATTCCGGGACGGTCGAACCCAGGATCTACCAATTAGCTGGGGCCATGTCGGTGAGGCCGTGGTCCAATCGGGAAAGCCGGTGTGGGAACCTCGCAAAGCGATTGGTCAATGCTTGACCCCGGGGGCGGGGCAACGAGGTGGGCGGGAAGACTGCGGCGATTGGGCACAGCGCCCGGGGCGGCGGGCGGGGATTGGCTCCGCACTAGGGCAGGGAGGCCTGGGAAGGGGCGGAGGAAGGCGACCAGAGCAGGAAGAGCAGCGGCGAGGCGGCGGCGGTGCCTGAGTCGGTGGTGGCAGAGGCGAAGGCGACAGCTCCAAGGGGTGGCAGCGGCCGCGCGAGCAGGATGCGGGTCCGAGTTGGGCTGACGCTGCTGCTCTGTGCGGTGCTGCTGGGCTCGGCCTCGGCGTCCTCGGGTCAGTATCCGCCCCCTCGGACTGGAGAGGCCGGGAGCCACCGCCCCCCCCTCCCCCCCGGCCTCCATCCCGGGGCAGGGCCGCGGGGGCTCGGGCTGGAGACTCTTACTTTCTCTGGTCACACCTCGCACTGGCCTGTCAGTCGCTGTCGTTCCTCGGGCTTTGGCTGGCCTGGGCGAGAGGGGGTGTTGAGGGAGCTAGAGAGGGGCGGCGGGGAAGGGGCGGCCACCCCGCCCACACCTCTCCTCACTTAACAAACTTTACGCGACTCCCCGCGAAAGGGGGCCGGACTCTGGGAACGAATCCCGACAGCTGGCCGAGATCCACAGCGACACCCAAGCCGTGCTGGAACTTCCTCAACTCTCGGACCGCTCGTGTGCTTGGGATTTGTAAGTGAACCGATGGACACACCTGGGGTTGCCCCTGAGCGGAGCCAGGTCCATCAAACCCAGGATGTTGACAGTGGTTTGGTGGGTTTGCTTAGCACCCGAGGTGGCCCCTTGCCTCTTTGTTTAAAAAAACGAGGACTTCTGATGTGATTGTGTCCACTCTCTACCCCCTTTTAAGCAAATATCCCCGAGGAAGTGGTGTTTATCGCTGTCACGGGGTTTCTGAGTTGCCCCGTGCTTGTTGACAGAAACTTTGTGATTTTTTTTTTTTTTGAGAAAATCTGGGTCCGTATACGTTCTTAAAATGGATAGCAGCTGATTTTCTTTTCTTTTCTTTTTTGTATATGCGTGTGCTTTTGAATTGATTTTCCCAGGTAGATTAATACTATGGTTCTGAAATGTATTCTTTTTCTTTTTTAAGAGTTCAGTCTGCCGACATCTGAAAACTTCTCTTTTGAAAGTGTTGATAAAAAAAAACTTAAAAAAGCACTTAGTGTTTTTAAATGTTGGTAAAGAAACAATTAGTACAATAAAGCTTTTGAATTTTAATCAGTTTGGTTAACAAGACAGCTGTTCTGTGGCTTTAAATTTTTTTGGAACAAGGCAGGGTATAAATGTCAACTCCTTTTTTTTTTTTTTTTTCCCTTCAACAGAAAATTTCCCAGATGGTTATTTGAATCCCCAAATTATCTGTCCTAGTTGTAAGTCAATGCTATAACGTCATTCTGTTTCTAAAATAAGAGGTCTAAACCTAAAATTCTATCCATATTGTGGTTTGAGATACCATTTCAAAAGCAACAAGCATATGCTAGTTACTTTACTGCCAACATCATGCTTTGGTCTGCCTTCCCCCTTTTTAGTGATGGTTTGTATTCATGACCACATCTTCAAAACTCTCCATAACTCTTGAAGCACTGCTACCAATTATTTGACCAAAGGAAGTATGAAAGGAAACTGTTGAGTGTAATGGATAGAGTACCTGATGGACCATAGACCACTTGCATCAGAATTCCTTAGGAATTTGTTAAACACGCAGCTTTAGGTCGGGAACAGGTCAGGGTATCTCTAGTTCAACAAGCTTCGCAAGTAATTCTTCACACTATAGTGTGAAACTAAAACATAATTCAATTTGCATAATTTAAAGAAAATTAAAGCCCTCAACACTTTCCTGCATCTTCTGTTAACTAGATTTCGTATACCAAAGAACTTCATGTCGGTGTAGATGGTACTTGAAGAAGTCATTTAATCAACAGTTGGACTCTCTCAGCATGTTATAATAGAAGATTATTCATACCAAAGTGTTAAATCTTTGGATTGTGTTGATGTTAGCAGAGGACTGGGTTCGAGAAATGTCTGTTCTGATTTCCACTGTAGTTCACCTGTGCTGAAGCCTTTCTCTGGCAGAGGCAGGACCTTAGCCTGAACGAAAACAGTAGAGATGTGCCTGCTGACAGGTGATAAAGGCACTACTGTGCTCACATGAAGTGCAATTACGGTAAAGCACTTACGTGAGGTAAAGCTTTAGAAACAGTACATGGATTTTCAGTGGACTTTTTTTACTCATTAAATTGCATATTTATACAGAAAGTCAGCCTGATTATTAGTTTAGATTTAAAGATTTGCTCCTATTTAAAAATCAAGTCCTGGTCCATAATTTTGCTTTGACTTAAAGTTTAAGTATTAATGGTTACCCAAGGGAAGTTGCATTTATTACCAGGTGTGCATTTATTACCAGGTATAATTCCCAGGGAATCTTGACTCCATCACTGTTAGTAGCTATTATTTCATATCTTGCTTTAGAGGCATATAAAAATATGACACTTTTATTGGAAAAGTTTTCTTTTTCCTGTGCATAAAGGAGAAGACTAAAAGTATATTTCTCCATTTTCTCAGTAATGAAAGATGTTATAATTTTTCTTTTTTATTCTTTATATATTTTTTAAATTTTTTTATTTAAATACAATTTGCCAACATATAGTATAACACCCAGTGCTCATCCCATCAGGTGCCCTCCTTAGTGCCCATCACTTAGTCACCCCAACCCTCCCACCCTCTTCCCCTTCCACAACCCTTTGTTTGTTTCCCAGAGTTTGGAGTCTCTCATGGTTTGTGTCTCTCTCTAATTTTTCCCCACTCAGTTTCCCTCCTTTCCCTTATAGCCCCCTTCACTATTTCTTATATTCCACATATGTATAATTTTTCTCACTTAGAAATACATGTTGTCTTATTTTCAGCAGGAGGAGACAAATGGTTTGCTTTTTTTTTTTCTTTATGCCAAACAGTGTTACAGAATCTTTTAAATTGGGTCCTCTGCTAAGTATTTCAGGTAATAGTTCTATTATCAGATATTCAAAGAGTAAATTTCAGATTGCAGACAGTATTTAATTTCATTGTCCTTTTTTCCTTAAAACATTATTGTGAGTCAATAGAGAAGACGGTGGTATTCTCTTTTGGCAGGTTGAGAAACAGGAGGCTGACCAACCTTGCTATATTGAACCACGTGTATACAATTAATATGTAATGAAGCCAAGGTTTGAACTTAGCTCTCCAGGCTTCGATTTTGGAGTAATTAAAAATCAGTATTTTAGGATCTGCACAGATTCAGTGGTAAAGCATAGAACGGGATGTCTGCTCTCTTCAAACTCTTAGGACTTCTGTGTTTGAAGGTCTATCAGTCTGGTTTATGTGACAAATTGGAAAATGAATTTGTGTTGATTACTTTTCCCTGAAAGAATATCCCTGGTACTTTTTTGCAGTTGAGTTGATATAATAAAAATGAAAGTTGATCTTTTTCAAAGGAAGTTTTACAATTACTAAAGTAATATAAACCGTTATATTTTGGATGTGGTGCTGTTGAATGAGAATTCTTTTGCATTTTTTCTTTGTGTCTATTCTGCTAAAAGCATTATTTTTATTTACACATAACTATACATGACTTTTATTTATATATATACATCCATGAATTTTTCTTCACATCTGTATTCTTCTCTGTATGACTTTGTTACCTACTTCCTATCGGAAGTTTCTTGATTATAAGTAACTTCTATAAAAGTGTTCTTGTGAATGAATATATCAGTTTGAAAGAGAAAATAGCTTATGCTTTGAGACTACCATCTGGAGTAGACTTTCCCAGTTTAGTAAATGAGAAAGAATTCTCTTATTTACCAGTAACATTAGTATATGTTCCTAGTTTGAAGAGAGAAGAGACAGAAGCATGATGCAATTCATGTGAAATAACCCTGTTGCAGGTTTCCAGGTCTCTTGGAGTTCAAAAACACATTTTGCTACTTGAATGTCTAATAGCTTGTAACATCTCAAATGTACATGTTTTAAAATTTATTTACAGGTACTGCTTTATATACCTGTTAGCTACATGTGTAATCTGTTGTGAGAGACAAGGTACTAAATTTCATGATTTAGTGATTAGTAATTTAAGAGTTCTGGCTCATCTAAAGTTTGGGGATATACTGTATACATTTATACATTTAATGTCTGCTCTTGATAGACTAGTTAATGTTTGTGATTATTTAAACACATCCACACGTAAAACTTTGATATATAATAGAGATGAATTTTTTTCCTGTATCCAAAGATTTACTGAGAATGGAACTTGAACTGTCTGTAAGAATTTGGGCTTTGGGTAAAACTTGTGAAGAAATCAGCACTATGAATGATTGTTAATTAACTGCCATCACTACTCAAATGTTATGGGTACCGTGGGACTAATACCTGCTGTACCCTTGATTCCCCACCCATCAGAAATAAACATATTTGGAAGGTAGCTTGAAAGTAGTAAATGTGAAAGCAGCTTAAGTGTCTTTGAATTGACAGCACTTTTCTTATATGGCAAAACTTCACTGGTAGACTAGTTTTCTCAAATATTCAAAAGAAACAAATGCTGTGAAATAGTGTTGTGTTATTTTACACATAATGAGTTGGTTATACTTCTTAAAGTTAGCTCACTACTTTGATAATACAAATTCCAAAGGGTGTTTTTCTTATGCTTGAAAGAATTACAAGTTATGAATAATATTTAGGATGTAGCCATATGAAGTAAAGTTAAATGGTAACTCAACACCAAGTTTTCTGGCAAAAAGCACATGGTTTTATAGCATTTTGTCTACTGGTTAATTTCTCATATAGCTGATGAGCTTATAACTGAAGCCCACTCCTGTATAAAATCAGATAATTTTAAGAATAAGAAGGAAACCTAGAGATCATTTGGCAGTTGTTGTTTTTAAACTGGCCAGGAATACAATGACCAAGCATTTACACATGGACATTATGTTCAATGTATTTGTATAAGATCAGGAAAAAGAATAACAAATCCAGAATAGAAGTAATAACAGAAAAACAGAATAGTAGAAGGACTATTAACATAATTGGACAAAGCCAAAGCAGCAGATATGAATTTGGAAGAAAGGTGTAACCAGGGGCTGAAGTTATTATTCATTGAATATGAGATATTGGTTACTTAATAGGTCTCATATGAGTGAGTACATGATGGTATGGTGCTACTTTTTACTTTTATCTGCTTAACTCTTCAGTAGAATAGAACACAAATCCTAAATATCTTAGTCTAGCAACTCTCTCACATGATAGTAATTGTTAGTGTCTATCTTTCGTAGTCTTAGTGAACAATAAAATGCTAATCACTAAAATAAGCTAAGTGACTCCAGATTCTAAGCAAAGGAAAAGAATAGGTGGAACCCTGAACCACAAAATCAGATATTTATTTTTATAAGTTTAGTAACTCAGTAGTGGACTAAATGTGAACAGTTTTGGATGGTATCTGAAGAAGTGCCTCGTGGTAGTGGTGGGTCTTCCTATACATAAGACAGGTGAAGTTAGTGTTTTCCCTGGGAAAAGAGGAAGAACCACCCCATCTAGCCCCTTGTTTTCCTTTTACCTAATCTTTTCTGAACAGTTGTTGAATACAACCAATTTTTAGATAATTCTAGATATATTTATCAAGTGTCTAATTATTATTTGTTGTATTTATCAAGTGTTTTAACAATATCTGTGATTTCCTAACAAGAAGGATGACAAAATTGTCTTAAAATCTCTTTACAGATGAAGAAGGCAGTCAGGATGAATCCTTAGATTCCAAGGTGTGTACTAAAATTTGCCTTGACCAGTATTTGATGCCCAATTTAAAAGCATGAATTATTTGTCTTAGAATAGGAAATCCTATTCCCCTGTTCCCCTTTTGGGCAACAGAATTGGATTAAGAGAAAAAAAAGAAAAGAAAAATGTAGCTGGTATCAATACACTAGTTCTTCTGGGGGTGGGGGGAAATAACTGACCTGTAGGAAAATAATAACTATTTTTATTCAGAATGTTAGTTGTTAGGTTTAGTTTTAACTTGAATGTGCTGTGTATGTAGGAGCCTAAAGGCAATAACATTTTTACTGCCTAGTGAGAGATCAATTTTATTCCTATGTTTTTAGTTTAATTTTGAAGACTTAACCTCTGCCATTTGTTTTCACTTATATCAATTTTTATAAATCTGTTGAGCTAATGCATTTAAATTGGTTGATTCAGTGAATGACACTTTTTTATCCAAGGAGACCATTCAGTTATGATTTTTGATCTCTAGATTTGAGGGAATATAGATAAGAAACAAAGTTGTAGTACAGGGCTTTCATAGTGGAAGTATAAGCTATGTTGGGAGTTTATAGGGGACCCTAATCCAGGCCTCGGGAGTTAAGGAATGTCTCCTGGGGGAAATAACATCTACGTTGAAATTGGAAGAAAGAATCAGGTTAGGCAAGTGATGAAGGCATGTGATAAACACATACCAGAGTTTAGAGAGATGAGCAAGTATGGCACATTCACAGCTGAAGGAGATATATCTGGATTAGTAAAAGTAATCAGATTAGGTTGGAGACAGTGCTGATACTATTTGAAAACTAAAAATACTTTATATTCTCAGACTCCTTTGCCATCAGATGAGTCGGTAAAGGACCACAGCACAGCGGGCAGAGTAGTTGCTGGGCAAATATTTCTTGATTCAGAAGAATCAGAATTAGAATCACCTATTCAAGAAGAGGAAGATAGCCTCAGGAGCCAAGAAGGGGAAAGTGTCACAGAAGAAATCAGCTTTCTAGAATCTCCGAATTCAGAAAACAAGGACTACGAAGAGCCAACAAAAGTACGGAAACAAGGTAGTCTGGACATTTTCCTTGCTTTTGCCTAACTTAGGAAGGAGACAACTGAAATCTTAAACTAGTGTACAAAGATGCAGAAGTCTGGTCTTATTGATTATGAAGCACATGTAATGTGTAGAATATAGTATGACTTTCTAGAAATTTTTTTAAGATATTATTTATTCATAAGAGACAGAGAGAGGCAGAGACACAGACAGAGAGAGGGAGAAGCAGGCTCCATGCGGGGAGCCTGACGTGGGACTCGATCCCAGGTCTCCAGGATCACGCCCAGGGCTAAAGGCAGCGCTAAACCGCTGAGCCACCCGGGCTGCCCACTAGATTTTTATATGCCAGTTATTCACTTAACAGATTGGACCCAAGTTATGTAAGCTGAATTTAATCATCAAAATTGCATTTGTACTATAGTAATATCCTAACATCCTCTTTTCATATTCTAGTATGTAATTATCTGCCCAAGTGGTACACGAAATGTAAACTCAAGAATGATAGTCTAATATGCTACCCTGGTTATTTTCAGAATTATGTTAGGATTTTTACTGCATTAACCTTCTCAATCTCCCTAGGAAATTGATGTAGTTGTTTATCTAACATAAACTTTGATCCCCTTTCTTTTTACCTTCTTGACACTCTCTGTTTTTAAATTTAAAATTTCTCTTTCTCACAATAGAGTGTGCTAAATACCTATCCTTCTAAAAATTAATTATTAATCCACTCCACCCTGTTTCACCAACCTTCTGTCCTTTGTTTATTATTTCAAAGATCACCCACTTAGTATTCTGTTACTGCCACTTTTGGAAATTGATTAAGATTTTACCTTTCAAAAATACAATTTTTTTTCAAAAGTAGAGTTTTTTTATTACAAATATCCATGCCCATGAATAGATAAATCATGTCTAAAAAAATTAAAAGTATCTTAATCCCATCAACTAGACATCATAGATATTAACATCATGAAGAAAACTCTTTCAGGCTCTTTTCTAAATGTATAGTTTTAAGAAGACTAAATTGGATATATTTATATATATCTTTTTACAGCCCGCATTTTGTGCTTAACAGTTTATCTTGAACATTTTCCCAATCATTAGTATTATTTTACAATTTGATAGTTAATGGCTATCAAAAATTTTACAGGTGGGGCAGCTGGCTGCTTCATTTGGAGAAGCACGCGACTCTTGATCTTAGGGTCATGAGTCCAAGCCCCATGGTGGGCATAGAGATTACTTAAATAAATAAAACTTTTTTGAAATTTACATATAAATATACCATAAGTTAGAAATAGATTGCTTACTATGTTTTTTTTTCTGTGATATCATTTTAGATGTACCTTTGTGCATACCTATGAAAATTTTCTCAGTTTTTTAAAGTAAATTTGCTGGACTGAATGTAAAATTTTAAAAGACATTTGATCCCATACTGTTAAATTATTCTTCAGAAAAGTAATTCTGTTTACTTCATTTGAAACAATTCCTTTTCCTGTGCCTCAGCCAATTATGTATTACCATTTTTAAATTTTTGCCAAATACTATAGTTTAATTCATTCTTTTTAATTTTTTATGAAGGAGACTTCAAAACAGAGAAGGGTATAATGACCCTCTGTGCCCATCATCCAGGGTCAGTAGCCATTCACATTCTCTCTTGCTGCATCTCTGCCACCCCATACACATCTTCTTTTTGCTTTCCTAGAGTATTTATAGCAGATTCCACATTATTTCACCTGTGCACATATCTCCAAAAGTGTCTTTTCTTTTCCCCAACGAAATGACAATGGTATTTTAACACCCAGCAAAATTAGCTATGATTCCTTAATCATCCAGTCTCTCTGCAGTGTCCCCTGTGTTTCAAATATCTTTTTAGAATTGATTTGTTTAAACCAGTATCCACACTAAGATCTTTGGTTTCTCTTTATCTGTAAAAGTTCTCTTTTGTTTTTTATTTCATTTTATTTGTTAAAATAATGTCCCTTGTGCTATACAATCTCCCACATTCTGGATAGAGCTGGTCATATCCTTGTCATTGGACTTCTTCCACCATCTGCTATTTAATCCGTATGCTGGAAGTTAACTCTAGAGGCTGAGGTATAGATGTAGCTGTTTTTTTGTTTTTAAGATTTTTTTTTAATTTTTTAAATTTTTATTTATTTATGATAGTCACAGAGAGAGAGAGAGAGGCAGAGACACAGGCAGAGGGAGAAGCAGGCTCCATGCACCCGAAGCCCGATGTGGGATTCGATCCCGGGTCTCCAGGATCGCGCCCTGGGCCAAAGGCAGGCGCCAAACCTCTGCGCCACCCAGGGATCCCTGTTTTTAAGATTTTAATTATTTATGCATGAGAGGCATAGGGAGAGAGAGAGAGGCAGAGACACAGACAGAGGGAGAAGCAGGCTTCTTGCAGGGATCCTGGCAAGGGACTCAATCCTGGGTCTCCAGGATTCCACCCTGGGCTGAAGGCGGCGCCAAACCACTGAGCCACTGGGGCTGCCCTGTAGCTCTGTTTTTTTATTGAGACTATCTCATAGAGTGTTGTGTACTTTCTATGACATTACATCCAGAGGCATAAAGGATCTGGTTTGTCCCACTTCTGGTAATTGATCAGTGAAGCTGGGTCCTGTCAGCCTGATCCAGCCATTCAGAGTACCCTCACTGATCTTTCACCTAGAGGTTTTATTTTTTTTTTAATTTTCTATTTATTTATGATAGTCACAGAGAGAGGGGGGGGGGCAGGCAGAGACACAGGCAGAGGGAGAAGCAGGCTCCATGCACTGGGAGCCCGATGTGGGATTCGATCCCGGGTCTCCAGGATCGCGCCCTGGGCCAAAGGCAGGCGCCAAACTGCTGCGCCACCCAGGGATCCCCTCACCTAGAGGTTTTGACAACCATTTGTTGGCTGGGTCCATTATTTCTCTAGGAATTGCAAAGTGATGGCTTTCTAGTGTATAATTCCTCCAGCATGTGTTACCTAGGATTCTTTTATAAAGACAAACTTTGCCTTATCAATTATTTGCTTGTTCTGAAACACAGTCCTTACAGGCAGGATAAATGCTTGGTTCTTTCCCTTGAAATATTTTCAAATAATTTGATGCCCTAGCAACCTCCAAAGGAGGCCAGTAAGTACATGTTTGTTTGTTTGTTTGTTTCTGTTTGCTTCTGAGCATCATTCCAGATCCATGGGTTTCACGTATACTTGCTTCACACAGTTGCAGTCCTTCTTTTTCATTGCTCAGTTATCCCATTATTGCATACTGAGAGTCCCTTCAAGTCCATTCTTTTGTTGACTAATCATAGGTGACTTTTAAACTTTTTTCTCTTTAGGCAAGATGGGACATCTTAAATTCATCTTTTGCATTTCCTAATCCAGAAATGAATCTGCCATTTCTTAAAAAAAAAAAAAAAAAAAAAACACACCCAGATTCCTTTAAGTGTGAAATCGTATTTAGACACTACAATCTAGGCATCAGTCTAGACATCAGGGACATGCATTGCAACTGAGTTGTCAGTACTGGTAGCTCTTAAAGTATCATTCATCCTAGTTCTTCCAGTTCAAATTAAATACTGTGAGAAAACCCAATGGGTCAGATTGACAAACTGTGGACTCTAAAGAATCAGAGATCTGGGCAGGCCGGGTGGCTCAGCGGTTTAGCACTGCCTTCAGCCCAGGGCCTGATCCTGGAGACCTGGGAGCGAGTCCCATGTCAGGCTCCCTGCATGGAGCCTGCTTCTCCCTCTGTCTGTGTCTCTGCCTCTCTCTTTCTCTCTCTCTCTCTCTCTCTGTCTCTCATGAGTAATTAAATAAAATCTTAAAAAAAAAAATCAGAGATCTTAGTACCAAACTTGACTAATATTTTTAGAGATATAGGTGAAGTGTTAAGAAGTCTGTGACTGCCAGCACTACTCCCAGGTCCTGCTTGCCTCAATGAGGATGTACCCTGGCACAGATTTTAACATATGAGGCCTTTAAATGATGCATATGGAATGTCACTTCGTGAAAGGGAGCTGTTTCCATTATGAAACCTCTCCACTTTATTTTCTGATAACTGCATAGTTTGTGTGATATTTTCTAGGAAGTCATTTGTCATAAATATATACCGGGTTTATGTATAGTGAGCATTCTAGACACACAACATACATCCTGCTAAAGCATTCCATAGGTAAGGAGGACCCACCTGGTAGTAAATACCTTTAATGTGTCTGCCAGAAAGTCTTTGGTCAGCATGTTTCTAACATGATTCTAACACATCACCTGTTTATGTATAACATAAATTACATAGGCATGGCTTTGTGTGCAGTCTCAACTACATTAGAACTGGGCAGTATGAAATTTAACTTCTAGACTTGCTTCCTTTGTTGGCCTCTCATCCATATCTCTGCCAAATTGATCTTCCTAAAACCCAAAATCCATAGCTTCCCTATATGCAACCCTTTATTATCTCCCCATTTGCCTGTGAAATGAAGCACAAACTCCTTAGCATGATTCCCAAAAGCTTCCACATGCAGCATGCCTGCTGTCCTCTGTACCTTCATCTCCTGCATCTCTGCCCAGGACCCTCTTGCAGCTATATCAGACCCTTCACCAATCTTCAAATACACCATGCAGTTTATGCCTCTAGGTCTTTGTACAAGTTCTTCCTGCTACTTGAATTACCTTCCTCACCCCCTTGCCCGAGTTAATTGTATTTCTACTTATCTTTAAAGATGAACATAAGTTTCTCCTTTTTGAAGCAGATCTGAACCACCCAAGGGCAGTTGAAGAGTCTCATGTCTGTAAGAACTTCCTGCTTGGTGTCCCTGCTCTCCTCCTTTCCCCCTTATGTCAGTTCTCTTAGCAGCCAGACAACTTTTCCTTTCTGTTTACAGCTTCCAGTGGCTTCCTATCACATTCAGAATAAAGTCCAAAAAGGCCTTACATGATCAAGCCCCTCTGACTTCATCATCTGCCACTTCCTTTCACTCACATAACTTCAGCCACACTTGCCTTCTTGCTGTTTGTTGACTATTTCATAC